CCCAACCCCGCGGTCAGTCATGTAGCAATCGTGATGAGCTGGAATGTTTGCGAGACACGTTGCGATTTCCCACGTGTGCTACGAGTAGCAGTGTCAACCAAGATCGCTGTCCGTACCGTCCTCGCGCTCGGCGTGAACGACAGCGGATGTGGGTATTCTGTAATCGGCGTGGACAATCTCCACTTTGGCTCTGTCGCTCGTATCGAGACCGCTGCTTCGGTGCTTTTCGCCCAAGCCATCGTCCCGATCGTCGATGTGCGCTTTGACCTGACCTTCTGCCAGGCTGGACTGTTGAACGGCATCGTACGATCCAGCGCTGTCCACGGCGCCGCCGAGGTCCGTATCTTGCACAACGCCGCCCATGGCGCGCTGACGTGCCCACAGATCCTCGGCCAGATCGAGGTTGCGGCACTTTGCGATACTGCGCAGCATGGCCACTTCGCGTCGGCGATGAAGCTGACGACGCAGACTCTGCGTGAGAAACGTCTCGAGCGTCTGGATCGACCAATCGGCAGGCACCAGCTCCAGCACCTGCTGGCTGTCGAGGTGCAGCGCCTGCGTGTTGAGCAGATGCGCCGTGGCGATGCGAAACTTTTCGTGTGCGCCATTCGCCATGTACACCGACAGAAGCTCCTTGAGCAGCGTCTCCTTTCGCTGCGCCGCTCCCGTGCGCCCAGCCTGCTGCTCCTGCTTGGCATGTGTCTTGATGCGCTGTGCATGTGTGCGGCTGAGCATTGCTGCGAACGGACGCAACTCCTCGTGGTCCTCGGCGATCGAAGCCGCCAGCATGGGCGAGAGCACCTCGCCGTCCTGCGAGCAGTAAGCCTCGGCACTGTTGGCATCCCTCAGCGTGATGGCCAGCAGAGAGAGCGCATCGGCATCGCGTCCGAGCTTACCCAACACAATCGCGCGCTCGTACGCCAGCGTCGGCAGCGGCTCGATCATCGACAGCACCGCGCCGTGGTCCAGCATGGTGGATCCCTGCAGCAGCATCGACAGCTTGAGTCGGTCCACGTCCATACTCGAGCCGCTGCACGCCAGCGCCAGGTGCGCAAAGAACGACTCGGCATACGATCCGTGCGCATACTCGTGCTCGATCGACTCCATCTTGGTGCGGTACTCGCCATCCTCGAGATGCTTGGCGACACGCCGGATGAGAGCCGCCGCTAGCTCGCGGTGCATCTGCTCGTCCTGCACCTTGGACGTGGACAGCGCGACCACCTCGAGGTACTTGGTCGCCGCGTCCGCGTCGATCTGGCGCAACTCGTCGATCGTGGCTTTCTGCAGCCGGATCGCATCCAGCTCCTGCGCCTTGCTTCGCGAGGGCGTTTTGCTTGTCGCAGCCGAATCCGACGCCGCCGTCTGGGCGGTGAGAATGCGGATTCCAGCTTCAGGGTCTTTGCGCACAAGCCAGCGACCGTACTCGGAGACCAAGCTGGCATCCTGCTGTCCGGAAAGCAGATCCGCGATCTTGGATACCGTAGCGCTGGTGTCAATGCTCTGCTCGAGCGCATCGCCCTGCTTGCCATCCACCAAGCCCGCCAAGATGTTGAGCGCCCCCTCGATGTTGCCGACCGATTCGTAGTGTCTTGCCAGAAGCAGCAAAAATCCCTTGTCCTTGAGAAGCTTCTCTACCACGGTAGGCTCGCAAGCGTGGTTCGAGTCGAGGAACGCCGCCATCTCGCGCTTGATCGAGGCTGCGTCTGGGTTGTCCGTCCCACGGCCCTGCGCAAGAAGGTGAAGATACGCCGAGTCGACGCGGTTGTGGACGTTGGCCAGCATGTGCTCGTCCATGTATGCACCAGCCCATGGATGTGCTGCGTTGGCGGCAGCTGCACGCCAGTCCTCCAAGAGACGACGGAGCATTGCGTCGGAACGGTGCAGCAGTGTCTGCTTGAGTTCCGAGAGGGCGCGGTCCTTGTTGACGTCCAGAGGAGGAGAGTAGTTGAGAGTGAGGTTTGCGACGATCATGTCTTGGATGCTTTGGATCCCGTCGCCATCCTTGCGCTTCAACTTCTCGAGATCGGGGAGCAAGAGTGCCGGCAGAATGGCCTCTCCCAGCGCTTGGCCCTCCGGCAGCAGTGATGGGAAGCAGCCCAGGATCAAACGTGGATCGAGGTGGGCGTGACGCAAACTATCCGCCGCCGCAGCAAAGTCTGCACGATGCAGGAGTTCGATGCCCAAGCGTGCGTGCGCAGCCGATGCCTCGAGAGAAGACTGCAAAGCGGTAGAGTTGGTAGCATCCTCGTCTGCGTTCTCTCTGTACGAAGCGAGGTTGTGCCGCAGATTGCGTATACGGCCGCAACGAAGCTGTTGAGCCGTCCAGCCGAGCAGCGAGTCCTGCTGAACAGCCGAGGTTGAGTTTCTGCCACACAAGAGAATTTGGCAGCGCGAAGGTAACAATGCGTGCGGGTATTCTTGAGCGCGGCTCAGCAAGGCGGCGTCGGAGCTATCGAGGTGGGCAAGGCTGACCTTGACGATGTCCAGATCGCAGGTTGTAGAGACAGACGGGTTGGACGCGCTGGGATGTGCAGCTGCTGGGTGCGAAACGGGCTGCAGGAAACGCGGATCGAGACCTGGCGGCAGCTGAATGGTCTGAACCCTGTGGGTCGAGTCGGAACCGATGCGGTGGAGCTCGAGGGTGTCGTTGCGAAGCAGCGATACCAGATGCTTGCCGTCGAAGGCGACGGAGCGGGGATGCGACGGCCATTCGAGCAGCTTGGGCGCCGGCTCGCCGGAGGGCTTGACAAAGACGCCGAGGGTGATGGAGCCACTGTGCGAGGTGACGAGAAACTCGCAGTTGGCGGAAGGCGAAGCGGCAGCGCTGGAGGCGCGACCGACCTCTGGGGAGACGCTGCCTTGCCTCTGCGAAGAAGGCGGGACAGGAACCGTGACGATGCTGGGCCTGACCTGGGCTGAGGGAGACTCGCCGGTCTGACTGATGGGCAGATGGAGCTGGGTGATGGAGCCGGAAGAGAGGTTGACGAGGCTGTACTCGGTGGCGTTGGCGATGCACAGGGTATCTGCGTAGCGACGAGCAAAGATGGCGCCGCCGGGTAGCGGAACGTCCTTGATGGTGGACCAGAGGAGATCCGAGCGGCCGTCTGAGCCGATTTTGGCGAGGATGATGTTTTTGCGACGTACGAGGCAGACGCTGATCATTCCGGCAGCGTCGGTGCCTGTGTCGGATTGCGCCTCCTCGTCATCCAGTACGATGGTGCTGACAGCTCTTGTGGATGGCAGACTGCGTATTGGAGTCCAGTCGGGCGTGGAGAAGAAGTTGACGACACCTTCGCACAGGACCGCAGCTGCGCGGAAGGGTCTTAGCAGCACGATCTTTTCGACGGGTTTCGTATGGTTGGATACGGAGCGGCTCGATTTGAGGCTGTATGTGCATTGCTGTGACGAGCCTGGTGCCGTGGCAGACTTGCGGTAGCGGATGTTGAACGAGTGAATCTGACCGTCCGAGGTGCCGATGTAGAGATGTGTGCCGTCGGACTCGGAGCAGCGAATGGATCGCTGCGCGTGATGTTGGATTGCATCCGGAGATTCGTGATGCAGAGATTCGGCATGCTCGTCGCTGCCCAGCGTGGGGATCAGGAGCGGCGCCAGTGCGTATGGAGGCACTGGCTCCTGAGGTGCTGTCATGCTAGGCTGTGTGCAGTGCCTGCTGCAACGGAGCCGTGAACGAGACGAGACGGGGTCAGGCGTGATAAGCTGCGTAGCTACCCGATGCCATGTCGAACGGCGTGCGAGGGGTCGACGAGTGGTGTAGCTGATCCAAGTGGAGAAGGTGTCGAGTGCTGCGCTGAGGCCATCCTGTGATGCTCCAGGCCAGCGCTTGTAATCGGATCTCGGGCGAGACCGCTCTCTCAGGGTTCAACCCCGATCCGCGAGCCTCCCAAGTGGAGAGTGCGGGATCGATCTGGAAAGTCGAGTGGAAATTCAGATCGAGCGAGGCGCCTCCGTCGAGCCCAGGTGCAGCAGCAGCCGTGTCTCTCCACAGCCAA